CATTGTGAGAATCAGTTGAAAGGGACAACAGTCATGAAAGAGAAGCTCTTCTCAAGGCAACAGGAGACCAAGCCTCACCATGTAAATAAAATCCAAGCTCCTGCTTACATCACATTTGCTGATATCCTAAGGGCAAATGGGTCACATTGCTGATCTCAATATCAACTAGGCATAGTAATACACTCCAGCTCTCTGATACAATAGCCAGGGCATAGGTGCATAATACTACTACAAAAGTGAAGAATTGTGTCCAAAACTGCAAACTACCACATTGAGGTATAGTAATCTCTTTTTTCATACATTTTTCACATTCCAAATTTGCAACAGGATATCTGATTTATTTCAAGAATCAGAAAAAAAAAAGACCATTTTTCAAATAAACAGGCGTAGTAATTATTGCTGGATTGAAAATACTTGTCATCCTGGGACTCTTAGCTACCAAGGACTCTGACCTCACCACAACAGAAACCAGGTAGAAAAGAGGTAGCAGTGGTGCATCCACAGGGTAAAGACAGATCAGAAGATCAAAATGTCACTCTGTGTCTGCAGTGTTAGGACCCATACTTATGCATCCAAAGTCAAGGATGCCTCATTGGTTCCTCTTCTTTTTACTACTGCAATGTTCTTTGTCCCACCCTCTTCTAAAAGAATCATTCTTAAATGATCTTTTACACAACTTTCCACTAGATATATGTGTGAGGTGCAGAGAGACATGTATGATTGAATATGCAGATATGATCCCTGGAGGATTCACAAGAAATTAGAAACAACTCCTAGAGACAAGAATTTAGTAATGGAATTACTACTGTGAAGAAGACTTGTTTTCATTGCATAACCTGACATATATGGTTTATTTTTTTAAAAAATACATGCAAGAATTGATCAAAATATATTATTTTTAAATAAAGTTAGGTAGGAGTTCATTTTTCTCATGACTAAGTAGAGTCTTAGGAAGATGAAGTAATTTGCTTAAGGTCATGCAAAAGCCACAGGAAGTGCTGATAACTGATGAGCAAATTCCAGCAGGAAGAGTAATAGATTTACTGAGTTTTTACTCTCCAGAACTCACGAAGTCAGGAGTATTTTTTCACTTTTAAAAATAATTAGTATTCACAGACATTAAGTAATTTGCCCAAAGTCACACAACTACTAAGCTACTGAGTCACAATGCAAAACTTACATGTCTTGCAAGTTACTATTTACAACCTATTTTACATGGCCTATTCATCTCCCTCACCTGGTAGTTACCCCACAGGTCTTGGAACTTGGTTATTTTTCACCATTAAGTCATGACTAAAGCCAAACATCTCTCAAAACTCTTAGTCTTATGATCTGTGTCATACCAAATGCCAAAACTAAGCACTCATCCAAACCTTCCATTTTCCCAAAATAAGATCACTGTCCCAAAGAATAGCTTTTATGTTAAATTGTCTTCTCAGCACTTAATATATTAGTAATTATCAAAAAGAAAAAACCTCTTTCCTACTAATAAATCATTAAAATCAAAGAGTTCCGATGTATTGTATAAAGATGCACATCTCTTTACACAAAGCTGTGAAATTATAAACCAGTTCTCAGATGAATTTTTCTTTCCCATATATGCTGATGTATCTTAGGCATATATCTTAAACTTCAATGGAAATTGCCTCCTCTGCTTAGTGCTGCCCTGATAGCTTACTAAACCAAACCAGTTGCTATCAATTCTAACTCACGGTGACTATGTACACCATAGGGTTTGAGATGGCTGATTTTTTGGAAACAGATCCTGAGGCTTTTCCTCTCAGACACCTCTCAGATACCTCCGAGTGGACTCAAACCTACAACCTTTTGGTAAGCAGGCAAGCACATTAAGTATTTGCACCAATACGGACCTCAATAACTAACTGTTGTTGTTAAATGTCTTTGAGTCAGTTCTAACTCACAGCGATCCTATGTGCAACAGAACAAAACATTGCCACTCCATCCTCACAATCTTTGTTATGCTTCACCCCATTGTTGCAGCCACTGCGTCAATCCAACTCATTGAGGGTCTTTCCCCTTTATGCTGAACCTCTACTTTACCAAGCATGATATCTTTCTCCAGGGATTGGTCCTTTCTGACAACATGACCAAAGCACATGAGATGAAGTCTGGACACTCTTGCATCTAAGAAGCATTTCAGCTGTACTTCTTCCAAGACAGATTTGTTCATTCTTCTGATAGCCCATTCTTCTGATAGGTATTTTGAATATTCTTGCCAATACCACAATTCAAATACATCCATTCTTCTTTGGTCTTCTTTATTCGTTGTTCAGTTTTCACTCGCACATGAGACTATTGAAAATATCATGACTTGTGTCAGGTGCAGCTTAGTCTTCAAAGTGACATCTTTCTTCTTTAACATTTTGAAGAGGTCTTTTACAGCTTATTTGCCTACTGCAATAATAAGCCATCTATTTTCTTGACTTTTGCTTCCATGGGTGTTGATTGTGGATTCAAGTAAAATGAAATCCCTGACAACTTCAATCTTTTCTCCATTTATCATGATGTTGCTTATTGGTCTAGTTGTGAGGATTTTTGTCTTCTTTATGTTGAGGTGTAATCCACACTGAAGGCCTTAGTGTCTGATCTTCATCAGTAAGTTCTTCAAGTCTTCCTCACTTTCAGCAAGCATGGTTGTGTCATCTGCATATCACAGACTGTTAATCTTCCTCCAATCCATAACTAACTAGATCCACAAAATTGCTTACTGCTCCTTCAGAATCTCAAACTCTTACCTTTTTTTGACTTATTGTGGTTGGGGTGAAAGTTTACAGAGAAACATAGCTTTCCATTCAACTGTTCATACACATTTTGTTTTGTGAGATTGATTTTAACCCCCACAATATAACAGCACTCTTCCCTTTCCTCCCTGTGTTTACCATTTTCCTCTTTGTCCTTCTTTCTTTTCATTCCTGCCTTCTGAGCTTTCCAGACTCTTACTTGATTATCCTAAGCCACAAATTTCTCAATTATAGCTCAAACACTTAAACTAACCCTTAATAAAAAGCTCCAACAACTGACTCTATTAGTAGAACTATATGTGAATTTCCACTCCTCATCTTTAGAACCTTTAAACTTAAAAGTGCAAATACGTTAGACTGGGTACCTAGGATTTCACAAACAACTTCAGGAATGACCATGCTTGCTGTTATCTGAAACCTAATATACTAGTCTCCCACATACCCTAATCTTAATACATTTTCTTATCATTTGGCCAAGATAAACATAAGAAAAGTTTTCACCTCCTGCCCTCTTGAAAAAAAAAAATGTAATATTCAAAAATTATTTTTGAGAAGTTACCTGACATTACTGTAAATGGAATTAGATTTTAGAAGTATTAAGTTATCATACTTCTAAAATGAAATCTATGAGGGCAGCAATGGAACAAGAAAACATGGCATAAATAGGCTGAGTTATCAGGTAAGCCTAAGCAAAAGGCAATATAACCATGACTATATATAAGGTTGGGAGATGATATTTCTACATATGTATTTGTATGTGTTGTAAGAATGTCCATATAACTAGAACTAATGGGGGTAAATTTATGATCACTTCTTAGGTACAGTCAACCACCCTGATGGAGTGAGTTGTTGGACCTTTGGGCTTGGCACCATGGTCTCAGGGGACATCAAGCTCAATTGGTATAACATACTACACAAAAACATTGTTCTCCATCCCACTTTTCTGAGTAGCAACTAGAGTCCTAAAAGCTTCAAGTGGCAATCTAAATACAACAATGGGTCTGTTCTTATTCAGAGCAAAGAAGAATGAAGAAAACCAAAGACGCATGGAAATAATTAGTCCAAGGCACTAGTGGACCATGTGAACTTCAGCCTATATGACCATGAGACCAGAAGAACTAGATGGTGCCCAGATACCACAGTCAACCACTGGAAAAGGGATCAGTGTAGGAGATCCTGGATAGACTGTAACATAGCATTTACAGCAAAGCCTCTCATAGTAATCATTAAATAAGTGTTAGCTTTAAAAGATTATTATTGGATCTACAGCCACTTGAGTTAAGAGCTCTGGGAAAAATGAAAGAGCATATTCAATGATTTAATGATTGTTAAAATGAACAATGTGGAAAAAACTCATAATCATTTTTAAAAAGACTAGGTTTACTAGTGTAACAGAGCCTGGTGAGACTCTCAAGACTATGGTGCCTAGTTGCCTTTCAGGTCTGGAATTGAACTCACTCCTGTGGCTTCCAGCCAAAAAAAAAAAAAGAGTGGCATACAAACTGAACATGTACACCAGGAAGATACACTCCTTAGAATGATCAATCATGAGAGAACGCAAGAGCAGTATTTGCACAGGGAGATAGCTCAGGGGGCAAGAATGCATAGGAAAGAAGGACACAGGGAAGAGGTAAGCACAGGGAAGAAGTGGGAAGAGAGCTGTTACATTGCAGGGATTGTAGTCAATGTAATGGAACAAACTGTGTATGAGCTGCTGTATGGAAAATTAATTTACTCAATAAACTTTCACACAAATCACAATAAAAATTTAAAAACAAAAAATAGAAAAGATGAGAAATGGCAAAAAAAAAAAAAAAGAGAGAGAGAGAGAGGCATAAATGAAAACAAAGTAGATTGGAATTCAAGGACCTGAAGTCCAGACCCACTTGTGGCACCAAGTAGTTGTGTGTCATTGGGCAATATATGTAATATGTCTGAGTTTCCAATGTGCAATTTATTAAATGAGAAGGCCACATTAAATGATTTGTGAGTCCATTCAAGATTAAATTATCTTTCATTTTAGGAACAATCTGTATAAAATAAAGAATGCTTGGAATAGTCAACATGGGGTGAGGGGTAGAGAAAATAGTTCTGCACCAAACTCATCTAAACATAAAGACTTAAAATTCTCTTACTATATAGGAGAGGAAACCCTGGAATTTAGACCTTTCATTGAAAATATGTACATACAGTAATAAGCAAAGCATTAGATCTCCTTTCTCAAATGTTGCTCCTTTTTCAAGAAAATGTTTGTCTTCTCAAGGTTTTCCTCAGGGCAATTTTGACATCTTTATTCCTCAAGCTATAGATTAATGGGTTTAACATGGGCACAACAATGGTATAGAACAAGGAGGACACTTTTCCTTGGTCAAGAGGCAAAATGGAAGGTGGTTTGAGATACATGAAAGCCCCAGAACCAAAGAAAAGAGAAACCACAATTATGTGGGAACTGCAGGTACTGAAAGCTTTGGACCTGCCCTCTGAGGAGCGAATATGGAAGATGCTGGAGAGTATTAGAGTATAAGAGATGAATATGGTAACAATAGGCATTCCAATAGCAATGGCCACAAAGATAAATACCACCAGCTCATTCACATAGGTGCTGTTGCAGGAAAGCTCAAGGAGAGGAAGGATGTCACACATGAAATGATTGACAAGATTATCAGCACAGAAGGTCAGACTTATTATGTTTCCTGTATGGGCCATGGCCCCTGAAAACCCCATCACATAGACACCTAACAAAAGGAGTAAACAGACCTGAGGAGACATGGTGACCATGTACACCAAAGGTTTACAGATGGCGACATAGCGGTCATAGGCCATTGCTGACAGAATGAAGGATTCAGAGACAACAAAGAAGCAGAAGAAAAAGAGTTGAGTCATACACCCTCCATACATGATGATGTTCTTCTTTGATACAAAACTCATCAGCATTTTGGGGGTGATAGTCGTGGAATAACAGAAATCAATTAAAGAGAGGTTAAAGAGAAAAAAATACATGGGTGTGTGCAGGTGAGAGTTCAGCCCAGTGAGAGTAATCAAGCCCAGGTTCCCCACCACAGTGGCCACATAGAAACAGAAAAACAGGAAGAAGAGAGGGATCTGGAGTCCCAGCTGGTCTGTTAACCCTGCGAGGATAAACTCTGTCACAGAAGAGTTCTTGGTTGTCATTCTCCTCTAAGGCACTCTGTGGGGGCAATAGAAAAGAACCACTTAGTGGCAAAGAAACATCACCACTATCCTCCCAGTATCTGCTCCCCTTTCTTGGGAATGGAATTCACAGAAAGACTAAAATTGTGATATAAAAGTCTTCACTGTTTGCTATGGATCTGTCTTCATATCATACAAGTGACTTTAACTGTTCAGAGTACAATATGATGCTGAACTTTGCAACCAGGATGAGAACTAGTGCTGCTGAGGAGAGAGGAATGGCAATACAAGTTGAATGACTTTTAGATCTTTAAGTCCATACTTTTCCTATGCCCTTCCCTCTGGTGTCTTTTCTTCAGTTCCTGAAACGTGGCCTTTTCTTTGAAGAGAATCCTGACAGGCAGAAATCATTGTGATTCTCCTCAGAACCTCCACTTCTGGATCAGGCTTGACAGAGCAAGATAACTAGTTAGTAATTCAGAGAAAGGCTGTTATTGGCAGGGGTTGAGAGCAGTTACCAAGTAGAAATTCTTTATTACCATCAAATTCACACTACATGAGAATAGAGGGCAGAGAAATCATAGAAGTCTCCTTTCTTGTTGGAGCTAGTAGTGCAATTAATTCCTGAAATTATTTTAACAATGATAAAATCATTGAATGTTTTCTTTCATTTTTACCAAAGCTCTTAGCTCAAGTGGCTGTAGATTTAATAATAATCTTCTAAAGCTAACATTTATTTAATGATTACTATGAGAGGCTTTGCTCTAAATGCTATGTGACAATATTATTATTCTCATTTCACTGAGATTATATAACTAATTCAGTTACAAAACTACTGAGTTGCAGCCAGGTGAACTCTGGCAGTCTGACTCCCATGGTTTGCACTTTTAACCACTGTGTTACCTGACAGGCAGGTCAAGCAGGCACTCACCTTCCTTTAGTTCAGAGCCACAATGCTATACTTCGCTGTCTCTTAGCCACATTGTTCTGGGGAAGGAAATAGTCCTAGCAAATAGATGACAACCTTGAGGTAAGAACTCTCTGTTTCCAGTCCTGATCAAAACATCAGAAGCAGTAATTTATATGGTAACTCTTTCTGCACCAAAGAACTCAATTTCTAATTACTGATTTACTAAAAGACTCCTATCTAGTTTCAAGGGAGGAAAGAGTATTTTTCCCTAGTCAGTGAATAACAGGTGATTAAAGTTGTATTTTTAATTGCAAATTTCCATAAAATGATTATTAAAACAGAGTCTCCCTAAGGATCATTACCTCAGAGATTACCTTCCTTAAGGAAGAAGAAATGTTTGTTTATGCCCTTGATATTGCTGATTTATTTATAGACTGAATATTTTCATTTAACTAACATCTATTCAACATTATTAAGAATAAATCATAGTCCAGTAAGAAGGTGGAATAGGGAGACAAGCTACACAGACTCTCTTCCACAAAGAAAAGGGAAACCAATTGACAGAGATACAAAAGATAATCCTGGAGCCCTGAGCTTTGAAAGGAATTACACAGAAGTGGATTAAGTCTAACTAGTTGAAAAACCTGAATGAAAACGGAGTACGGAGATGGACAGACCTGCGGATTGTCGGCTACTCTGAAGATACCAACAGCCTGAATATTTCCAAGTGGTGTTCAGACCTGAGAATTGATCTAAAGATCAGCCCTAGTTGCCAAGGCCTGCAGGTACAACTGTGCTGGTGGCTGATGACAAGGAAGGGAAACAACAAAGAGGGAGACAACCTGAGCTGTGGACTTTCAGCTGTCCAGAGGGTGCAGCCATTTTAATTGTTTACAAGCAGTAGCCATTTTGGATATATAAAGTGACTGAGGGTGCAGTCATTTTGAATGTTTGCAAGCAGTGGCCATTTTGGATATTTAAAGTGATAGCATTCCAAGGACCTAAGAATAGGCTACATTTGCCAAGGATGGCAGTGACATATGGAGGGCTGACATTGAAAAAAGGAGACAGGTAGTGAATGTATAAGTGCTGCCAACTAGCAAATAGAGGAACACAATGCCCTGCTTACTTAGATAACATCCAAACAAAATAAGGAAAATGAATCTTGGGCACATCACTCCAACATAAAATCACCAATTAAATAAAACACAAAAATGCCACAACGTCTCAGAGACAACAGTGCATCAGAGTCCACACAAAGAAGCAAGATAAATCAGGAGAAACAAGGGACCAGGATATGGACCCAGAACACATCCCTGAGAAAGAAGCAGCATTGGAACTCCCTGATAAGGATTTCAAAAGAATTCTATTTATATACTTGAACAAATTGAGAGACAGATCAAGGAAAACACTGACAAAATTGAGGAAGACACAGACAAAAGCCTAGAACAATTTAGAAAGGAAATACAAGAACAAAATGACAAAAATAAATGAAAAATTAGAAATGATACAAAATCTACACATAGAAATCCAGAATATTAATACCAAATTTTCAAAAATAGATAACACATTGAACAGACAAAGGAGTAGAATTGAATCAGTCAAAGACAAATTAGTAAGATTGAAGGCAAATACCTCAATAATTCTTTGGAAAGTGATCAATCAAAAAAAAGATCAAAACAAAATGAAAAAAGCCTAAGGTTCATGTGAGAAACCATCAAAAAAGATAACCTTCCTCAACATAATAAGGGGCATTTATGCAAAACCAGCAGCCAACATTATTCTCAATGGAGAGAGACTGAAACCATTTCTCTTGAGAACAGGAACCAGACAAGGATGCCCGCTATCACCACTTCTATTCAACATTGTACTGGAAGTCCTAGCCAGGGCCATAAGGCAAGAAAGAGAATTCAAAGGCATCCAAATTGGTAAGGAAGAAGTCAAACTATCCCTATTTGCAGATGATATGATCCTATTCCTAGAGAACCCAAGAGACTCAGTCAAAAAACTACTGGAACTAATTGAGAGATTTAGCAACATGGCAGGACATAAGATCAACATCCAAAAATCAGTTGGATTCCTCTACACCAGCAAAGAGATAGCTGAAAAAGAAATAAGGAAATCAATACCATTCTCAATAGCTACCAAAAAAA